CGGGCCGCCTTCGCTGGGCAGCCTGCTGGGCGGCGGCGGCGCAACACGGCCCGAAGTCGAGGGCCTGGACGACCGCTCGCGATCCGCGGCCGCCGCGCGCTCGAGGGCAGCGCGGCGCGCCAGCCTGGGCGACGATGCGGTCAAAAATGCAAGACGAAGCCAGGACGAGGATAAACTCGGGTGAAGCTACATCGAGAATCTCTGGGATCTGGCGGCTCTGGAGGATGTGTATCGGGCGCCGCGACCTTCCCGGAGCGTGCCGGACCGCTCTGAGAGCTCTCCGGAACGTTCTGGAACAGATTTCTCCTCGTCCGAGCCCCTCTGGCGGTCGCTTCTGCTCCTGCACCGTTATTCGCCGCCTCGCGGTGGCCGGCTCAAGGCGCGGGCCCAGGCTGCTCGGGGTAAAGTGATCGAGAGGGCCTCTAGGTTCCCTCCTCCTCCTCCTCCTCCCCCTCCCCCGCGCACGCGCCCCGAAAAAAATACCCAGTCCAATCAAAATGGGTCGGTTTCAGCGGTCGGCGCGGCTGGCGGACAGACCTCTCAGGATGACTCGGAGCCTTCGCGCAAGCGAGTGCGTTTCGCCGGGGACATCGAGTCGTCGGAGTGCAGTCTGGCCACGTCAACTACCCCCCAGGCGATGGTGACTGCCGCGGCCCTTCTGATTGGAGCGGCGCTGATGGCTGCAGTACCTTCGTCCTCCGAGCCGCAAGCGGGATCCGCATCTGAAGCTCAGGCGACGCATCCTGGCTCGGGCGAGGCTGGCGCGGATTTCCCTGGAGCTCCCTCGACATCGCGTGGTCGGAGGCGTCTCCTCTGGCTCGTGCCAGGCGGCCCCCGGAGCTCCGCGACTTCGGCATCTGCTGGGTCGCAGTCTGGAGCTCTGACGCCGGAGGCCCCTGCAGAGGGCTCGGCTGGATGTCCACCGCCTGCGAGTGGCGGGTCCCCCCCAGCGCTCTCGCGTCCGGTCGGCCGCGGGCAAGGCCTGAAGGCCCGCAGGGGAATGCGGCACCCAGGCCCAAGAGATTTCGGGGATGGCAGCGCGGGGCGAATTCGGCGACCTCGCCTGCTGCGCCCCTCCCCGAGTCTGGCCCCTTGCCGCCGGAGGGGTGCCGTGGGCATAGGCTCAGAGTCGCGGGCGATTTTGTGGTGTGCACTGCGTGTGGGTGCTATACGCAAAGGGCGACGCGTCGCGGATTTTTGCTGCCATGCGACCCGCGCGACCTCAATCGCCTGTCGAACAAGCGGCAGCGCTTGGACCGATTCTTACGGGGTTTTCATCCCGACGACCCTAATAATGTTATTCCTGTCCATCGTGCCATCGTCGTCGGCGCTGAAGCTCTGGCGCGGCCAATGCTGAGGTAACCAGTTTGCGTGAGAATATTGTGTAATGTCGCAACCACTGAGGCGCGGAGAGTACGCCCTGACCGAGATGCTCGATCCGAGCTCGGTCCCGAGCATCATCATCATCATCATCATCATCATCATCATCATCATCATCATCATCATCATCATCATCATCATCATCATCATCATCATCATCATTATCATCATATTCATCATCATCATCATCATCATCATCATCATCATCATCATCAGCATCATCATCATCAGCAGCAGCAGCATCATCATCATCATCAGCAGCAGCAGCATCAGCATCAGCATCAGCATCATCATTATCATCATCACCACCATCACCATCATAATCATCATTGTCATCATCATCATCATCATCATCATCATCATCATCATCACCACCACCATCATCATCAACAGCATCATCATCGTCATCATCATCATGATCACCATCATCATCATCACCATCAGCATCATGACCATCAGCATCATCATCATTATCATCAGCAGCAGCAGTCGCGGCAGCATCATCATCAGCATCATCATCATCGTCATCATCATCATCATCAGCATCATCATCAATATCATCAGCATCAACATCAGCAATCATTATCATCGGACCACAACCATCAGCATCATCGTCATCATCATCACCATCATCATCCCAATCACCATCATCATCAGATTCAGCATCATCCTCATCATCATCTTCGTCATAACCACAAGCAGCATCATCATTATCAGCATCGTCATCCTCAAAATCATCACCATTATCATCATCAGCATCATCATCAAAATCATCAGCATCAACATCAGCAATCATGATCATCGACAACACAACCATCAGCATCATGGTCATCATCATCACCATCATCGTCCCAATCACCATCATCATTAGATTCATCATCATCTTCATCATCACCATCATCTTCGTCATGAGCACCAGCAGCATCATCATTATCATCGTCATCCTCACAATCATCACCATTATCATCATCAGCATCATCATCACCATGATCATCAACATCATCACCACCACCACCATCATCAGCATCGTCAGCGTCATTATCAACATCATCAGCATCATGGTCATCATCGTCAACATCATCATCATCACACTAACACCACGACCACCACCACCACCACCACAACAATCATCATCATGAGCAGCATCATCAGTGTGATCATCATCATCACCATTATCATCAGCATCATCATCATCACCACCACCACCATCATCATCATCATCATCGTCACCATCATTACCGGCATTATCATCATCACCATACGAGACATCATCATCATCAGCAGCAGCCTCATAATCAACATCACCATCACCACCATCAAAATCATCACGATCATCAGTAGCATCATCATCACGATCGGCATCGTATCATCGAGGTCATCACCCGTATCATCATCATCATCATCATCATCATCATCATCATCATCATCATCATCATCACAATCATCAGCAACATTATTAGCAGCATGATCCCCGTCATCATCACCATCATCATCAGCTTCACCATCATCATCAGCATCATCAGCAGCATCAGCAACATCATCATCGTCATCATCATCATCATCATCAGCATCACCATCGTCATTACCAGTATCATCGCTATCACCACCACCATCACCATCACCATCGTCGTCGTCATCGTCATAATCATCATCGTCATCATCATCAGCAGCATCATCAGCATCGTCGTCATCGTGATCATCGACATCAGCAGGAGCGCGTTTCTTTATGTTCGGCGATGACGGGCGTCATGGGGGGGGGGGCGCGAGGGGGGGTATGACGTGACGCCCCCCCCCGCCGTGTGGCTCCGGCACAGCAGCCGCGCCCGCGCGCGCGACGCGACGAGCGACGAACGGCGAGCGACGAGGACGACGACGACGACGACGACGCGAGCAGCATGTAGGTGGCGATATGCCCCACTGCGCCAGTGTACCCCACAACGCTCGCGTGCACCACAGCGCGCGTGTATACCACAGCGCCTGCGTACACCGCAACAACCGTGTGAAATGCAGCGCCTGTGTACACCACAGTGCTTGCGTACACTGCAGCGCTGGTGTACATGTGTACACCGCAGCTACCATGTGCAACGCAACGCCTGTATACACCACAATGGTTGCGTGCACCGCATCTACACCACAGCATCCGCGTGCAACGTAGCGCTGGTGTACACCACAATGCCTGCGTGCATAGGACAGGTAGAAGGAGCATGTACGTGAGGATCTGCTGCGGACAACTAGACGCCACGCCAGGAAAGTGCTGATAATCGAATGCGACGTTCTTCCCTCCTCCTTACCCCCTGTCCTGCGGCTTGGCGCTACAGCGCATGTGCGCATTTCAGCGCGCACCGCAGAATGGTTTATTGAATCGGTCCACTTGGTTTTCGGACGGCCAATTTAGCTGGAGCCTCCTGGACGCAGATGGGAGGAGTTAGGGTGATGCGGGCGGACTCGGGAGGACTCGTAGATTCCAGCGGAGCTCCGTTGTCCATAAGGATTATGTTATGTTGTTTTCTGTGGAATCCACAAGCGTTCCATTTTTTGTCATCAAGGATTCGTTATAACATTTTATGTACAACAGTGGTGTTATGTTGCACACGGTTGCTGTGGTGCACACAGGAGCCGTGGTGCGCACAGGCACTGCAATGCACGCAGGTATTGTGGTGGGTGCTGTGTTGCACACGGCGTACGTGGTGTACGCAAGCGCTGTGGTGTGCACAAGAGCTGTTCTGCCCCCATGCACGTTGGCACAAACTGACGCTGTGTTGCACGCGGCGGCTGTGGTGTACATAGGCGGTGTGGTGTACACATGCGCTGTGGTGCACGCAGGCACTGTGGTGTACAAAGGTGTTGTGGTACAAGTCGCAACCTACATGCTGGCGCTACCCGTCCACCGTCATTCCTAAGCATTCCCAGAGGCCGCCGGCGCGAAAGGTGACGACATCGACCCCTCCACCCCCCCTAGATGATTGCCGTCATCGGCCCGGAATAAAAAAAAACAGGCTTCACCCGCGTCCGCGCGCACGACGACTATGAGCGACGAGCGACAAGCCACAAGCGACGACGACGACGACGACGACTGCGGACCAGACTCCTATGCGGATTCCTAAGCGGATCCCAAAACGCGCGGCGGCAGTGCCCGGAGCGCACTGGGGAGGGGGGAGCGTTACGTCAAAGGGGGGGCGGGGGGGGAGCGGGGGCCATGACGCCCGTCATGCCCCAAGCAATAAAGAAACGGGCTCCAGCCAGATCGTCAATATCATCGACGTCATCAGGATTAGCACAAGCATCGTCATCAGAAGCAGCATCTTTATCCTCTTCATGGTCATCTTCACCTTCATCGTATCACCATCCGCCCTCCCGGAACGTGGAAATGGACGACGACGACGACTCGGATCACGGCGAAGACAACGACGACGACGACGACGAAAATCACGACGACGACGACGTCGTCGACGACGAAAACTACGACGACTACGACGACGACGACGACGACGACGACGACGACGACGACGGCGGCGGCGGCGGCGACGACGACGACTACGACGGCGACGACGGCGACGTTGACGACGACGACGACGTCGACGTCGACGTCGACGACGACGACGACGACGACGACGCGGCTCCTGACGATCTCTTTGGCCGACTCCTGCTGGTCATTGGCCCCGGTCTCGTCGCCCTTGGGCACGAGGCGGGCGTTCGCCTGCGGCCCCGTCGACATCAATTTGCGGCGCCAACGCAGGCTGGAGCAGGAGGAGGAGGAGGAGGAGGAGGAAGGAGGAGGAGCAGGAGGAGGAGCAGGAAGAAGCGAGGAGGAGGGTGGAGGAGGGAGGGATTTCTTGGGGGATCCTCCAGGCCCCCCCTCGGAGAGAGAATGAGGGACTCCTCAGGGGAGGAGGAGGAGGAGGAGGAGGAGGAGGAGGAGGAGGAGGAGGAAGAAAAAGAGGAGGAGGCCCCAGGCGGTTTCGCTCTCGCGGCTTAGTGCGCCGCCCGACCGTCCCGCCCTAACGCCGCGCAGGGGGCCGCAGAGGCAAAAAGGGGAGAAGGAGAAGGAGGAGGAGGAGGAGAAGGAGGAGGAGAAGGAGGAGAAGGAGGAGGAGGGAGGAGGATTGTTTCCCTCGAGGGCCCTTGGACAGAACATCACCACCGACGGCCTCAGGCCGATCCTGCTGCACGAGATGCCTCCTCACGTTGCCGAATCCTTTCAGCCAGGGCCGACATTCCAGGTGTCGAAATCAGGCCCGAGCGGGAGGAGGAAGAGGAGGACGAGCCAGCGTCAGCTGCCTCGAGCAAGACATACTTGGCCGAGGCACGACATGTAGTGCCAGAACCTGCAGCAGTAGTGCCCCGAGACCTGAAGTGGGGCGGAAGACCTCGGCGTATGCGGGAGAGGGCGCGTCACCCACTAGGGCCAGGCGGTCCGCACATCTCACCGAGGAGGTAGCCACGCTTGCTGGTGAAAGCGCCGCATCGAAAACAGAAAACAGTCGGGGCGCACTCGTCGTCCTGAGACAAGGTGGTGCACAGGATGTGGCCTCGCTCGCTCTCAGCACCTTGCAACCGACGGAGTGCAGTGGGCAGGCCCTTGCGCATCCATCCATGGGCCTACCATCTCCGAAAGTCGTTTTGAAACATTTGGAACATCTCGAGGTCGAGGGGGTTTCATCATCCCCAGGTTCCGGAGCCTCTTGATCCATGCAAGAAGAAGGGAGGAGGAGGGAGAAGGGAAGAGGATGGAAGGAGGGAGGGGGACGTGGGGAGGAGGAAGGAGGGCGGAGGAAGAGGAGGAGGAAAAGCGGGGAGATGGAGGTGGAGGGAGGAGGAGGAGGAGGAGGAGGAGGAGGAGGAGGAGGAGAAGGAGGAGGAGGAAAAAAGAAGGAAGGGGGAGGGAGGACGGAGGGAGGAAAGGAGGGAGGAGGAGCAAGAGCACGAGGAGGAGGAGAATGAGGAAGAGTTGTTTGAACCTTTTGGGAAAAGAGGAAGGAGGAGGGAGAAGGAATGAGATATGAGGGTGGAGGGAGGACAGACGGAGGAGGGAGAAGGAAGGAATGAGGAGAGGCAGGTAGGAGGGAGGAGGGAGGGGGAGGGAGGGGGGAGGAGGAAGGAGAAGAAGAAGGAGAAAGAGGAGGATGGGAGACCAGTGGAAACCCAAGACGCATCAACGAGACTGCAAACTACATCCCTTTAAGTTTCCTCTTCACAAGTCCCTGCATGTATGCATGTCGTTGCGGAGAACGGCCTATTGGAAGACCGTCGGAGAATCCTCATTCGTGCCCAAACACGCCGCGAATCAACGTGACTTGTGCTGCGCCCTGACAATCCGAAGTCGTGCCAGAACACCACTCCTAAGACTTCAGGCGTACGAGCCAATGACACTGCTGTGAACTTTTGGAAAGAATGCGCGCGGCTCTAAAAAGATAACCAAATCTTGAAGGATACCCAAAAAAGGAAGCAACAGCAACCGCCCTCCATCCGTGAACCTGTTGCAATGTTTGAAGCGAGTGGGCGCGGCGCTGCAGGCGAGAGCCACATGCTGACAACCACACGCCCTCCATCCTTGAATGATGCCCCAATTTCTAAAACGAATGTGCGCGTCGCAACGGCGAGAGCCACATTGTGAAAAGAGCCACCCTCCATGTGCGAAGCTGTGGCAAACTCTTGAGACGAATGTGCGCGGCGCTCAAACGCGAGACAACATTTGAAAACGGCCCACCCTTCTTCCTTGAAGCAACTGCATTGTTTGAAGACGAACTTGCGCGGTATTAAGGCAAGCTCTACACTTGAAACTGATGCCTTATTCTAAAACGAGTTCGCGCTGCATTGAGGCGAGACCCACATTTAAAAACAAGCCGCCCTCCATCCGTAAAGCTGCTTCAGAATTCAAGGTTCTGGATCATAACAAGTGAGGAAGTCTTAGGCCCAACGCTGGGCCCGCCCTACCGACACGTCGAGTGGTCCGAGAGAGAGAAGTTATCTATGAGGAAAAAGGGTGGAGGAGGAGGAATTGGAAGGAGGAGGAAGGACGAGGAAGGAGGAGGAAGGAGGAGAAGGAACGAGGAGGAGAAAGAGGAAGGAGGAGAAGGGGGAGGGAGGAGGGAGGAGGGAGGGATGAGAAGGGTTCTTTTTGACATCAACCGCCTGCCAAGCCTTGGAACAAGGAGGACGGCGCCTCCTCCCTGAGTTTGTGTCTGATCACTGGGGTGGCGCTCGAGGTTCGTTTCATCCCCTGCCACCTCCGCCACCCAGGAGCCACGGAGACCAAAAATAACGACAATACTGGTATGCTTCCCATCCTCTGCCACTTTCGCCACCTAATACTCTGAGTTGGACGTCGCCAGCAACGAGGGGGGGCCTCATGCCCGAATGGGAACAAAGAAGGGACGGAGGAGGGAGAAGGGAGGAGGGAGGAGGAAGGAGGGAGGAGGAGAAGGGAGGAGGAGAGAGGAAGAGGGAGGAGGGAGGAGGTGGGAGGAGGAGGAGGATGAGGAGGGAGGAAGAGGGAGGAGGGAGGAAAGAGGAGGCTGGGCTGGGATCGGCCTCGGAAGGCAGTGGGAGGAGGGAGGAGGAGGAGGAGGAGGAGGAGGAGGAGGAGGAGGAGGAGGGACGGAGGGGAGGAGACAAGAGAGGCAGGCCGCCAGCCGCCAGCCCCTCGGAGCCGTGGAAACCACCGACACGGACCGTCGAGACCAGCCAGGACGGCTCCGCCCAAGGCGCGGACCGCAAGAAATCAATGCAGGGGTTCACGGCCACCAACAACACGAGGAAGTTGAAACTCCGGACTTTACGAGAGCACGAAAAAGGGGAACTCAGACCACGGACCAGGGACCGCGATCGGTGGAGACCCCTGGACGCTTCGGATGATTCCCCTTGCAAATGGCCGACCAGGCGCTGTCGGCCCAGTTAGACTTGGGCAACCCGGTACAATATCCAGACAGGCGTGGGAGCAGGAGGGAGGAGGGAGGAGGTGGGAGGAGGAGGGAGGACGAGGGAGGAGGAGGAGGAGGAGGAGGAGGAGGAGGGAAGGAGGAGGAGGAGGAGGAGGAAGCGGAGGCGAAGGAGGCGGAGGCGGAGGAGGAGGAGGTTTGCTTCGCATAATATCACTGCCACATGAAATTAAGAAATCATCTGGTTTGGCTTCGTCGCCAGATGAGAAGCTGAAAGCGTGTGAGACACGACGAAAGATACATCTTACTTGAATGTGGGTTGCGCGTTGTCCTGCACCTGACTTGCCAAGGCGACAGATGCAGGAAACACAACGGTGCTTGAGCGAAGAGGATGAGGGAGGAGGAGGAGGAATATGAGGAGGGAGAAAGAGAATGAGGAGGAGGAGGAGGAGGAAGGAGAAGGAGGAGGAAAAGGAGAAGGAGGAGGAGGAGGAGAAGAACGAGGAGGAGGAGGAAGGACGAGAAGGAGGAGAAGGAGGAGAGGAAGAGGAGAAGGAGGAGAGGAAAAGAAGGAGGAGGAGGACGAAAGAGAAGGAGGAGGACGAGGAGGAGAGATGAGGAGGAGGAGGAGGAGGAGGAGGAGGAGGACGAAAGAGGAGGAGGAAAAGGAAGGACTCCTGGGTCCTGCTGCTTCCCCTTAGGGGCAGAACACCCGGGGAAGGCAGGGCGCACGAGGCCCCGGGTTTAGGAAAGCCAGGAAGGGCCGACTGCGAGGGGAGGGGCGGGGAAAGGGAGGCCCGGGCTAAGGCATCGGCCGCGAAGCTCAGGACACAAGGGTACCCTTGATTTGGCAGGGTCGACCGACTGTATACCGTTTTCGTCGGCTCCTGGGCGTCTTCCAGCCTCTGGATGCCCTCCAGCAGCTTGAGGAGGGCAGGACGAGGACAGGATCGGATCGATCTAGACTGGGATTTCTGAGATCCTGCGGTTCTGGACGATGTATCGGGCGCCGCGGCCGTTTCAGAGCGTTCCGCAACGATCTGAGAGCTCTCTCTACTACCCTGAAGCGAGAAACCTATGCCCTAGCCCCGCCCGCAACAACGTATACTTCTGGGCAAGATCGCCCGCATGGGCGACGGCCACGCGCCCGCTCCCGTCCTGGGGGACGCGCCGCCATCAACTATTGGCTACGGCTACGGCACTGGTTGCACCGCACCCTTGGCCCACCAGACTTGTTCTGGCACCCACTGCCCCGCCGCCGCCGAGACCCCGGCGCAGCAGCCGTCGCAGACCCTGCCGGCGGGGCCGGCCGCGCCACACGCTCTGGGTGTGACCCGTCCCCCTGAGCGGCCCTCGCTCCTCTTCCTTCGGCCGCCCTCCCCTGTTTGTCAAATTTTCCTGCGTTGTGGCACAATTCGCTACAACGATGCCCCCGTTTAGTTGGCTGCTCCGCCAGCGCAGTTACTCTGCCTAGCCGCCGACGAAAAAATGTTCTCACAACTGGAAGCGTAGATCACCTGGAAGCGTAGATCTTCCAGATCCACCGTCAATCCGCCGGCGAGGCCGCCCCAGACGGGTGTGGACGCGCGAGGTGCGTAGACGCGCTGCGCATGCACGTGCACGGAGAACTCTCAATTGGTCAGCGGTTGCTGCCATGCCGGCAAGCGTCTGGCAGAGCACGGCGCGAGAGTACGGCCGCTCTGGCCAGCTCCTTCCCGATGCTCGCGCGCGCGTCACACGGCTTCTTAAGAAATAGCCCCGCCGAGGAAGAGAGGCCAGCGGAAGACGAGACCAGAGATAGAAGGAAACAAAAAAAACGCCATGAACATAGACGTGTGGCGCTCCGCGCGGGGGGCCCTGCTGTGCCTGGCCCGGGAAGCCCTCCTCCTCCCCCTCCCCCTCCCCCTCCCCCTCCTGCTCCTGCTCCTCCTCCTCCTCCTCCTCCTCCTCCTCCTCCTCCTCCTGCTCCTGAGGTCCTGGCCTTGCGATGGTGCTCACGCCGGGCGCCTCCGCGCGGCCCCGGGCCCCAGGACCATCACAGATCGATCCAGCTCGAAGAATGCCGCAGAGAGATGGGGGCTGGGCCGTGATTGCCCGACACATGCAGCACGATGACGGAGAAATGCCTACAATCGGACCTAGGCCAGAAGAGCATCCTTCAAGAACGTGAGACCCTCCGCCGGCCAAAACAAACAGAACAGCCAAGGGGACCCTCCCCAGGATGCCCAAGAGCATCCAACAAACACGAAGAACACTAGGGTAGCATCCCCGAACCGAGCTCGATCTTGTACCTAGGTCCGACTGTACGACAAACGGCAGAAAAATGCAACGGAATGCCGAATTTGAAAATTAAAGAAAACAGAAGCATAAATGTTTGGTGCTCCGCGCGGATTTCTTGGAACTGCGCTGGACCCCCCTTCCTGGCGCGCGGAGCGCGCCAGGGGCGGCTCCAGAGGCACCGCCAGGGGGGGCCCAGCGCGGATCCAGGAAATCCGCGCGAAGCGCAAACAGTTTATGTTTATAGCGTCATTTCTTCTTCGAGAAATGCCGAACGTCGTGATGTGTCGCGATGTCGCAACTCCTTCACGATGCCGGGTCTCCGCAGGACGACTCTGGCTGCCCGCTATCGCGGGGAAGGCTTGGCGCATGTAAGGGGGGGGGGAGTAGGGGGACGGGGTGAGCCCAAAGACGAGGGGGGGGGGCGATGAGGATGGGGGGGGATGAGGCCGAGGGGGAGGAAAAGGATGAGGAAGGGGCGGAAGGGGATGGGGAGGGATGAGGAAGGGGAGGGATGAGGAACGGGGGGGACGAAGGGGGAGGGATAAGAAAGGGGAGACTGCGGCAGGGGAGGACGAGGCAGGGTAAGAAGGGGGAGGGAAGAGTAAGGGGAGGATGAGCTGGGATGAAGGGGGTGGGAAGAGGAAGGGGAGGGGGAGGGAATGATGCGGGGAAGAGAGGAAGGGAAGTGTCAGGAGGGAGAGAGGCAGAGAGACATCTGAAAGAGAGAAAAAAAAAAAAAAAAAAAAAAAGGCCGATGATTGAGGCCGACGCTGGGTACAAGGCAAAACGGATGTCCAATACATTCACAGATTAGCATCGGTAGTAGCAGGACTTCTCCTCCTCCTCCCTCCTCCCTCCTCCATTCTCCCTCCTCGCTCCTCCCTCCTTCTCCTCCTCCTCCTCTTCTTCCTCCTCCTCCTTATCATCATCATCACAATCAGCATCAGCATCAGCATCAGCATCAGCATCAGCATCATCATCATCATCATCATCATCATCAGCATCATCAGCATCATCAGCATCATCATCATCATCATCATCATCATCAGCATCATCATCATAATAATCATAATCATCATACTCAGCATCATCAGCATCATCAGCATCATCAGCATCAGCATCAGCATCTTCATCATGTTCATCATCATCATAATCACCATCATCATAAACATCATCAGCATCATCATCATCAGCATCATCATCAGCATTACCATCATCAGCAGCATCATCATCATCATCATCATCTTTGCGACGCGTGGAAGCAGTGAAACGACAAGCAATGTTAGAGGACCTGGAGAGCTGCTGCCAGTAGTGAAAGTGGCCAGCAAATATACGGAGGTCGCGCGCGTGTGGAAGCACTATACAAGTGCAAGGCTAAAAAGCTCCGCCCACTGGACAAGTCTCGTTCGCCCAAACTGTAATGCAATCGACCATCAGCACGAGAATACCGCGGCAGGGAGCCGATGCAATCGGACCCAGGCCAGAAGATCATCCTTCAAGAACACGAGACCCTCCGCCGGCCAGAGCAAACAGAACAGCCAAGGATGCCCCCCCAAGATGCGCAAGAACATGCAACAAACACGAAGAACACTACTCCGAGTTTCTTGATAAGCGTCGGTGGGGGGGGGCGTCACCCCCGCCGACAGCACCACATCGACCCCCGTCGCGGGCAGCCACCGCGCGCCGAAGGCGCTCCGACCCCCGTCGCGGCGCGACGACGAGGCGAGGTTGACCCCCGTCGGGGGGGTACACCCCCCCCACGCTTACGAAGAAACCCAGAGCAGGGTACCCTCCCCGAACCGACCTCGGTCTTGTACCTCGGTCCGACTGCATGCGCTCGGCGTCGGTGCGTCTATCCCCTCCCCTCGGCGCACCTCGCCGTCCGCGTCCGTGCTGTCGACCAGCCTGGCTTTCTCGGGCTCCTGGGCCTCCAAGTGGTCGTCCACCTTCAGCAGGGAAGGGGGAGGAGATGACTACACGTCGGTCGGAAGAAGTAGGTAGAAACATGAAGTAGGAAGGCGGATTAAGTTGATTGGGTCCAGGCCCCCCAGAGAATAACAAAACACAGCAAAAGCGTGTCGATTCTTGAAGTAGGAAGGCGATTGAAATAGATTGGGATCTGGGAATCCAAAAAGACCTGCTTTTAACGACCGGCGTGGAACGGGAGGAACGTTGGGAGAGGGGGGCTGGCTCAGGGGAGGGGGAGAGGGGGGGAGGGGAAAGGGAAACATCGAGCCAGAGTCGATGACAAATCGCCAACACATCGGAGATAGGCCTCCGATAACGAAGCCGCGAATTCGGCGCCAGGCCCCCGATACTGGGCGCGGTGGTGCTATCAGGCCTCTATCGGCGATCCTTGGGCGATTCGCGGTCGGCATGTCCCCCCTGAGAATATGCCCCCCTCCCCTGAGAGCATGCCCCCCGGAAAGTATCCCCCCTGAGGGGGGGAGGGAGCAGGATGCTCTGGTTGCAGCTGGAGCAGACTGGGTCGGAGGATCGCACCAGCATCGCGGGCGAAGCCACTCTGAAGGCGGAGGGAGGAGCTGGAGGCTTGGGAATGGGCACCACCACCAACACAAGGGGTTTGCCTCCACACTGGGAAGACGATCCTCGATTTCGGTGTTGGTGGGAATCGTTCGACCATCTGGGAAGCCCGAATATTACCACCATCACCGAGATCGGGGTAATTTTCCCCCGGTGGCGGCACACCAACCGCTGGGCCTCCGACGGAGGACGACGAGGGGGCGGACTATGGAGGCAGCGGAGTGCAAATGCCCCCTGCCTCATCGGGCTGCGGATATCGGCCTCCGTTGGGCGACTTCGGCCTCCCCGGGCCCTCAACCGGCCCGGGGACCGTCAACCCCACCCCCCAAGAAAAAAACAATTGAGCCCCGTGGAAGTGGTCCAGACCAGTGGGGAACCGCCATTTGAACAAACTACGGCATCGGAGTTCTGGGTGGTGGTCGGGAGGGGGAACGGTAGAGGCTGGCTGGCGCGTGGTGAAAGAGGTAGAGAGGGCGGGGGGTGACAGGGCGAAGGGCGCGGGGCGGACGGGTGTAGAATCATCGTGAGATCTGTTTCTCTCTCTCTCTCTCTTTGTCTCCCACTCTTTCCCTCTCTCTCTCTCTCGCTGATTATCTCTCTGTCTTTATGTTTTGTATATCTCTCTCTCTCTCTTGTCTCTCTCTCTCTCTCTCTCTGGAGCGAGCATCGGTCCTGACAACCGTCAGGAAGCAAGCGACTAGTGGTCGGAGCGTTCAACGGAGTGCCAGATGCAGTACGTCGGCGGGCGAGGTTTAGCTCGCCCGCCTCCGAGCGGTGCGAAAGGCTGGCCACGTGTTCCCCACCTTGCGCGTAGCACTGTTAGTAAATGCCTCTAGATCGAACCTGGGTCGCGGGGGGGTCTGTGGTAAGTGCCCAGGGAAAATGCGTTTCAAACTACATATACAAATACAAATACATCTACATATACATATACGTACACGTATGCACACACATATACATATACCTGCACATACACAAATACACATACATATACCTATACATGTGCACTTGCATACGCATATACATATACATGCACAAATGTGCACACATATGCATATACCTAAACACATGCATATCCATATACAGTTATATATACATGTACGCATACATATATATATATATATATATGCATGTACACGTACATGTACATGTACATACATATATACATGTACATATACAAATATATACACGTACACATACCTTATATACACCTACACATACCTGTGCATATAAATCTACATATACATATACAGATACATATACACAGAAGTCACATCGGCACTGGCATCAGCATTTACATATCCACACGTATACATGTACATGCATACGCGGTTAAGCAACTACATATATGTATGTGGGGGGGGGGCGCGTATGCGTTTGTTTGTATGTGTGTATGCATAGTTGCTTGTTTGCTTGTACATATGTGTATGATTGTATACATCGCTGTCTGGATGGATATGTGTGACTGTGTATGTTTATATGTGTGCACGCAAGTGGATGTGTGTATGTGTGTATGTACATATGTATGGATGGATAAATGAATGGTTGTACGTACGTATGTCTATATGTAGGTATGGAGGGGGGGTATGTATGTATGTATGTACGAATGAATGTATGTGTAGTTGTGTGTGTGTGTCTGTGTAAGTGTTGGTAAATTGATGGGTGTGGCTGCATATGTATGTACATGCATGTGTGTGTGCATGTATGTGTATGCAGGTATGTGTGTCTGTATAGATATGTACATATACACACGATCGGCGCCCCCGAGGCCGCGATCCCGGCCAAGGGGGGGGGGTATGTCTGATTAAGCGTATACACATATCTGAATATTTATATATATATATGTATACACATACATATATATATATATACACATACACGTTCACACACACACATACATATGTGCGTTCCGACCTAAACAGATGTCTCTATCTACAGATACACAATTTCCCGCAGCATGAGCTTGCACAACTGTATAGGCATACATACGTATGCCTCTGTTTATGTCTCCCGATCTCTCTCTCTCTCTCTCTCTCTCTCGCTCTCTCACTCTCTCTCTCTCTCGCTCTCTCTCTCTTATATATGTATCCCTCTCTCGCTCTCTTTATTTTGTTGGTTCGCTATCTCCCTCTCTCTCTTTCTCTCACTTCCTAAGCCTCCAAGAAGCTTCGAGACCCCCCCGGAGCTGCCGAAAACCTCTTCTTCTTCCTCCTCCTCCACCTCCTCCACCTCCTCCGCCTCCTCCGCCTCCTCCCTTCTGGACGCGGCCGCCAGCGGAGGGGCCTTGTCCACTATGAAGACCATGACCGAAGCGAAGGCGGTGAGGACGAAGGCGATGATCACCTTCTCGAGAATCGCGTGGGTCTTCACTCTGTTCTGCCGCCGCAGGAAGAGGATGGGGAGGAGGGGCTTTCTTGGTCGAAGGAAGAAAGCAGAGGGGGACGCGGACGGCCGAAGATCGACGTGCCATCAGCTTACGGGGAGGACGGGACGAATTGGAGGGGCCCTGGGACACACAAATGAATAGACACAAATCCCAGGATTCCCCATCTGTTTCATATGTTCCTAAATTTCGTCTTCCCTCCCACTTCCCACATTTTCCCATATTCCTCGGAATCGACGCTGACTTGTGTCTGTGTGTTTTCATCCCTCTTGATGCAGTGGAGGCCAGTCCACAAGAAACCTTCCACTAGAAACCCAACCCTGAGACCCCAGGACGTTTTTTTTGGTGCGGGAACGTCGCGCTTTCCATCGCAGAACCATCGAAACCCAAGAAACCCAGGGCACCCTGGAGGCAAGCAGGGTGTTTCTTAGTATGGGCCTCCACTGTATTGAGTATGCGTGTGTGTGTGTGTATGTGGGTGTGCTTACGCCAGCGGCTCCCGCCGGGGGTATTCCTCTTCCGCTGGGCTCTAAGTCGGGTATCTTCTGACTCGGGTCGATCCAGACCCGGGTCAGTCAGGCCTTGCAAAATCCTGCATGATCCTGCAAGATCCTGCACCCAAAACCGGGCCCACGCGAAGGATCCTGCAAGATCCTGCAGGATCCTGCGCCCAAGCCCAGGTCAATGCGACCCTGGCCCTGCAGGATCCTGCAAGATCGGGCGCTCTGGCTGACCCCCCGCTTGCACTGACCCCCGTTTCAAGGCTCCCGACTAATACGCAGCCCCCGCACGCCGCCGGCCGCTCGCGTCCTCCGGGCGTCTCGCGGCTCCACCTGCAACGCCCGACTGTGAGTATGACGGTAGTCAGCGCCCCTGCTGTGTCTCTCGCTACCGCGACGTCACCCGGGCGACGATCAAAAACGGGTCTTGCGCGAGATGACGTAGCGACCTCACGCGGTGGCTTACGCGGGCCGCCTGCGCGACACGCTACATTGGAAACGAAGGCGCTTACGCGCGACCTTACGCGACGAGCTTACGCGCGAATGTTAGCACAGTCGAAACCCGTTTTTGTTGCGTCGCTCACCTGCCAGGTGGAGGAACAAAAAGCTTGCGTGTTTCGGGGGGGACGAAAGGGTAGGACAGCGAAGGGTAGGGTCGAGGATCAGCTCCCGTAGCTGGCTTTCCTGGCGCCTCCTGGCGCTGGGAGGCGCCCATGTAGCGAGGAAGGAGCCTGGCGGCGGGGCCGACACCAGCTGCACGCAGCAGATTTCGTCACCCCGCTTCTCCTGTCTACCCTATCGTCTGGGCCGAGTGTTTCTGCGCGTTTGCTGGATTCGCACGGGTGCCGCGCGTCCACTTCTGCCGTCGGCGGCCGCAGGGCATGTCCTCCCACAGGCAGATCTTGGACGGCCAAATGCACCAGAGAGCCCAGAAAGGCCCAGAACAGTGCAAAAAAATCGTCCCCTGGCCAATTCGTTGGCTGTTTCTGAAGACTCCTCCCGTGGCGGGACATGCCCGACTCGGCATCTGGCGGGAGGTCGAGCAGCGGCGGGGCGCGCCGGCGCACAGTGCGAGGCACGAGGAAGACCTGAGGAGGGGAGCGCGCGAGGCGAGGCGAGGCCGGAGAGGTCGAGGGGGCGAGGGAGCCACACGGACCACTGGGAGCCGGAGAGGTCGAGGGGTCGAGGGGGCGAGGGGGCGAGGGGGCGAGGGGGCGAGGTCGGGGGGGCGAGGGGAGAGGTCGAGGGGGCAAGGGGGCCGCCAGGGGAGAGGTCGGGGGGGCGAGGGGAGCCGGAGAGGTCGAGGAACGAGGAAAGGCCGGAGAGGTCGAGGGGCGGGAGAGGCTTCGGGTACGCACTGACCCGGCCGGGTCGATGCACAAGCCCGGGCCAGTCGGGCGTTGCAGGATCCTGCAAGAGCCTGCAGGAGCCAGCGCGCAAGCCTGGGTCAATGCACCCCTGGCTCTGCAGGGTTCTGCAAGATCTGGCGCTCTGGCTGACCCCCATTCGATCAGCGAACGACACTCAAACCTACA